GGGTTGAAAACGGCGGTCGCACCAACACTCTGGGTTCAAGCAAACGTGGACGGGTGGAGCAGAGAGCAAGGGAGAGTCCCTGAACGAGTCACCGGGCAGGCCTGCAGGGGGGCAGGGGGCAGAGGGCAGGCCACAGGGTGCAGGGGGGGGGCAGGGTTGGAGAAGAAGAAGAAGAAGAAGAAGAAGAAGAAGAAAAAAAAGATCTCGTGGCAAACGCTACAGCAAAAAGATCTTCAAGTGCTTCAACAACTTTTCACCCGTTTGCTTTAGCGTACCACTTCAACAACATCAACAACGACAATAACTTTCATAACAGCTGCATTAACCGATACAACAGCAGTATAAATGAGAAATGCTCATGTGTGTGTGTGTGTGTGTGTTGGGCAGCGAGGTCGCGGGGTCGTGCCGGAGGATGGGAATGGTAGCGGTGAGAAGGAGATGCAAAGCCGTCGGATGTGGGGGCTGAAGGAGCGGGGGGAAGGGGGAAAGGGGTTTGTATGTTGGCACAAGGGGCGGTGGACATGCTCTGCGACCGGGCAGTGAGCGCCACGACATCGTGACACACGCACACACACACCACACACACACACGCGGATACGCATGGAGACAAGAGTGGTCAGATGCGAGGGAGGGGAGAAGAGAACAAGCCCACGAGACCACCATCAGCACCATAATAATGAAGGACACGACTGGCGCTGCCAAAAACGTATCATCATGACTCGCGCACCCGCGTGTGTGTGTGAGCACGCCATCACCAAACAACGTCAACAACACACACACACACACTCTCTCTCATGCGATTCACGCTAAACCAGTGGTGATACCAAGGGCAGCCAGTCGATACATGCACATGGAAAAGGGGTCACAGCGCAGGCCGTCGGCGCCGTCAACGCATACCGGGTGAGTGCCGTCGTCGTGTCGTCGTCGTCGTCGTGTCGTCGTCACTTCCCCGAAGAATAAAATAAAAATTAAAAATTAAAAAAAAAGAGATTTAAAAAAAAATCAAAAATCGCGAAAAAAAAAAACGGAAAAAAATAAAGTGGTGGTGAAAGACCAAGGGAAGTTCACAGGCGGGGAACGAGGGCAGAGAGTGGGTGTAAGTTGTGTGGCTGTTGCAGAGAGAGTGTCAATTGCCTGACAAGTCGGAAGAGGGACGCATAAACGGGCAAGATCGCCCCGTGTGAATACCGTAGGGAAAGCAGAGATATGGCAGCTGGGTGTTCCGGCGTTGACAGGTATTTGCTTCTTGTCAGACAAACCAAAGAGGAGCGCGTTGCCCCACTGTTGTCGGTAGAGAGACTGTTTGTTGATATTTGTTCGACGTTTCTTCGTTTTAGTTGTGTTGGTGAGGGTCACCACTAGCGAGCGCCCGCCGGCCGAGCCCGAGGGCCATCAAAGACAGAGCGGCCCTCTCTACTCTCAAGGCCAGCAATGACGGCCCTCTCGTCCGTGCTAGCAGTGGCAGTCGGGCTGTGACTGCCCCCTCCCATCAGAGGTCAGTATCTGATCTCTTGTTTGCTTGTGAGCGTATGTGTGGCAAATCTATGCAGGAGGACGAGTAAAGCCTGTATTCAAGTGTGACGTGGCCATGCACGCACGTGTGTGGGTCCTGAAATGTCAGATATTTTATCCGGCGCCCCTTTTCCATTGTATCCCCTATTCCGTTTCGTTCAGAGATTGTGCTGCGTCATTGCACCCTGTTTCGTGTTTTAGCTTGGAAACGTCCTGCCATTCAGAGATGCAGCGCCAGGTGTTTTTGTTTTGGTTCGGGGGCAAAGACAGAGACGAGAGAGTCAGAGACAGAGTGAGAGACTCACAGAGAGTCAGAGACAGAGACAGAGAGAGTCACAGAGAGAGAGTCAGAGAGAGAGTCAGAGAGAGAGTCAGAGAGTCACAGAGAGCGAGTCACAGAGAGAGAGTCACAGAGAGAGAGTCACAGAGAGAGAGTCACAGAGAGAGAGTCAGAGAGAGAGTCAGGTCAGAGAGTCACAGAGAGCGAGTCACAGAGAGAGAGTCACAGAGAGAGAGTCACAGAGAGAGAGTCACAGAGAGAGAGTCACAGAGAGAGAGTCAGAGAGAGAGTCAGAGAGAGAGTCAGAGAGTCACAGAGAGCGAGTCACAGAGAGAGAGTCACAGAGAGAGAGATAGAGTCACAGAGAGAGAGTCACAGAGAGAGAGTCACAGAGAGAGAGAGAGAGTCACAGAGAGAGCGCGCGCTTAGAGGGACAAACCAAACCCTGCGTCGTCTCTCTCCTTGTGCCTCGTCTCTCTCCTTGTGCCTCGTGCCTTGTCGACCGTTGGAGGCCTTTTTTTCCCAAATTTGATCGTTTGGGACGCGCGCGCGCTTGCTTTGATCGCTCCTATGGCCCTGCTCCCATGCATTGTTTGTGGTTACACCTGCTCTCTACCCTTCGCCGCCTCGCGTTCCGGCACTTGGACACCGACGTTACCTTTCAACGCCAAGACAGTGTGGCTCGCGCAGACCCCTCTTACTAGCGATACCCCTGCTTGCACGGTTTTGTTTTTGTTGGCGTCACCTTTCTCCCCAGACACCAACCCCCTAGTCAATCATTGGGCGCAACGGTTTTGCGTCGGCTTGGTGCTCACATCAGCCGTTTAGCCATGGAAGCCTGGAGCCATCCTCTCTTGTGCCGCGTACGCGTTGCCGATCGCACACCTCTCCACACAGCCAGCTCCCTCAAGATGGCACCCAGCGCGCGACGGCATGTGTGAGTAAACAAGGGAAAGCTCAACGGGCTCAAAGTGAAGATTCACTGCTTTCGCTCGCACAAATTTCGGGTTGTTGTGAATTTCAACTGAAAGCGACACGGACGGACGAACGGTAGCCCCGGCCGCGCGCATCAAGGTCCAACCGCCATCAAACTGTTCAACAGTTTCCATCCTAGACCAACTTCTCACTACCAACACGACCTCGTCAACACCCTGCAGGAATAAGAAACAAGAAAAGCCGTCTCTCGGAGATGCCAGCCACCGCGACAGCAGTCGACAGCAGGCACGCACAAATGTACACACAAAAGACGAGCCTTCAGGAAGACAAAAAAAAGTAAAAATGCTTAAAAGATGGTGCCAAGCACCTCAATCCAGGCAATCAGGGTTGGCTCCACCGTGGCGGCAGCCAAAAACTCTTCCTTGCGCAACCGCGAGGGCTCGGCGGCAAAGTCATCAAAGACACGCGTCACAACCAGCTCAATCGCCGCCGACGACACCCCCTGCATCGAGGCTGATAGGCGCCGGGCTCGCCACAGGGTTTGAGGACTCTGAGCGCCTCGTCCATGGCCCGACGCCGAGCCCCGGGGGCCACCCACTTCTCCAAACCCACTCAGTGCTTGATCTATCAAGTTGGCGGGCATGGCATCTCCCTGTCGACCGCCAAATAAATGTGGTCAGCCAAAACAAGAGAGGAACCGCCAAACACCCAAGAGGAGAAACAAAAAGGCGCAGGGATGTACTCTAGTCTCAAACGCACCTCGCGGGCCTTTTCTGGACCAAGATGAGACTGGTGTGGGATGGCTGCCGTAAACAAGCTGGACACTGGCCGATCCTCCTCCACCGCAAACTTGGACAACTACAGTCCCCGCGTCGTACACCGTTTGAGTGTGCGCGCCAACATGTGCAGTGAGAGAAGGCAAGAGCAGTAACTTGTTCTTTTTTTTTTCCGAGCGACTTCTTCCTTTTTTTGTTTCACGACTACTGCGCGACATCTCGCGAATTCACCACTGACCAGATCCTCGTCCAAGTTGTCAACCACTTCCTTGACGTGGTGCATGTTCACCTCAAACTGCGCCGTTAGCAATGTGCGCATGCGGCTTCGTCCAATCGACCCCGAGTCCTCCATGTCGTAGCCTTGATATGCCACTGCCAGTTCACCCCCCCCCCATCCACAAACCATGCCATGAGCCACCACACCGCAGCCATCATGCACACAACATTGCACGCGTGTGCCAAAACTCCCATCAACAGCATGCTTTGTCTTTGGCCAACGTACGCTCGGCTTTCTCGTCAAAGCTGCCTTTGAGCAGCACCGACAGGCCCCGAACAAAACTGGGAAACGTAATCACTTCATCTCCCCGCGCATACACCTGTGGCATCGCAAGCGCACGTTGATCGAAGACCATCAAACAAGGCAAGCTAGGCTCAAGACTACCAACGTACCACATCAAACACTAGGTTGGCCACAAGGCTAGCCTTGGAACCCAATGGACCGAGGCACTGCATAAAGGTGGCCCGCGAAATGTGCAAATGGCCCGGTTCCCCCTCTGACAGGGCGACAAACTGCAAGGGACCCATCAAGAACAACATGAAAATGAGCAGAATTTGGCGGCAGCACCCTCGGCGCACGCGTTTCGGCTTACTTGTTGATAAAGCATTTCAATCTCAATGCGCGAGACTGGGTCCCCAATGGGACGAATGGAAACAGGGTGAGAGTCAAGATGACCGTTACGCCACAACCAAGCACGATATCCCCCGCAGCAGCCGCACATCCTGCACACGTACAGAGTGTCATTCTCTTCAGCTGCTTGATTGTGGTCCAGGCCAACACGGCAGGCGCCATGGCCGACCCTGTGGGGTGAAGGTGACACCCCAAGCCCCAACTTTATGTGAGTTCACACTAAAGAACAGGGGGGGGGTTCTGGCATGTGGTCGAAACGTACCAGGATAAAACGGGTCCAGGAGCGCCTTGCGCGGGTTCAGCATGGGTGGCAGAGGCACATTGATCTTGACAAAAACATGACGAGGATTGTGGCGGTCCACGGGCTCGCAATCCTCACACACGTCGTAGTCGATACAATTCAAGCACTGCATCCGGCAGAGCCAGCCCCAAGAACTCAAACGTCGTGAGCAGCGTCCAGCCACGCCTGTCAGCTGGAAACGCACACCACACCCACCTTGAAGCGCTTGCCAACGATGGGCGCAGCATTGCAGTTGTTGCACGAGATGCCGCGGTGTAGGTTGCCCTCTGTGCACAGGAAAACCACTGTTGAGCGCTCAGATCCCGCACGCACGGCAGGCTGCTTCATTTTCAAAAAATGGTTAAAAGACAAAAAGGTCGCGGGCGACTCAGCAGCATCATGCCCATACCTCGCCGGGCAGCCGAGCGTGCGACGTTGTAAAGAAGCGAAAGCAGCGCGTGCTTGCTCTCGGCCGTCCAAGGCTACCGTCGCCGCATCGCATTCATGCCATGAGGTCTCGCGTGCTCGTTAGTCGGCTGTTTCGTGCAAAAACGGCAACATACCCCCCCATTGGACGCAGCTACCACCGCCTTTTGCACACCATTCCAATCCACCAGTAGCTGCCGCACCAGCAGCGCCAAACCAGCCCCAACTGCCGCAGCGAGGGAACGCTCCAGCACCCGCTGCCAGTCCACCCGTTGCAGCACATCCATCTTGATCTTGCTTGTTCGAAACAAAAGAGAGAGAGAGAGAGAGAGAGAGAGAGAGAGAGAGAGAGAGAGAGAGAGGGAGAGAGAGAGAGAGAGAGGGAGAGAGAGAGAGAGAGAGA